GGGGAAGCGCTCGGGTGCATGGAGGAGGGCAGCGGTTACGTGTGTGGCTCTGCCCGAGCAACATGGCGAAAGGCTCGTAACTCAGACAAAGCTCCTCTGGGAGGAGCTCATGTTGCTGCGGTGGAGCTTGCTATGCCGACACACTCGAGCTCGGGGCGGTGGTAAAGAGTTGGGGGAGGCGGGTGAAGACGGTGCTGGATAGAGGGGAGGGGGTGGGGATGATTCCACGGTAGTAGGGAGAGGGTCGATGGTAGGTGGAGCAGGGCTTGAGGGTGGCCGACGATGGTCGGAGGGCACAGAGGCACGATTGCTCGCCACATGCGGTCAGGGAATTTTTTGTTCCTCCCACAAAGGTTGGAAAATATACACAAATCACATTGGGGTGTCTTTTGCCCTACTGTTTGGATCAGAAGACATCGGAGTTCTTATCTAACCTAAAATTTATAAGAATGACCTCAGATAAAGAATCTGCAAGGATGCATTTTCTTGAAATTTTGGCAATTTTATAAAGATGGTGATGGATAATGATTCTGCTAGACATGCTCTAACCTTTTACTATTAGGTATCTTAGGAAGTATAAGTGTAGAAAGTCAATCATTGTGAATTTTAACGAGCTCATTCCTTCAAGAGCATGACTAATACTACTATATAGTAACAGTTGGCTATAGCATGTTGCCATGTCTTACGTATAGCTAATGTAATAGACAATATAGCACTCCTTCCGTTCCTAAATATTTGTCTTTCTAAATATTTCAACAAGTCACTACACATGGAGCAAATGAGTGAATCTACGCTTTAAAATATGTCTATATACATCTGTATGTGATAGTAATTTGAAATCCCTAAAAATACAAATATTTAGGAAGGGAGGGAGTAGCAGTTAGCAACAAGAAAGTACTACTTTATTATCAAATAACCTATCTTACACTCTCACAAAGTTTCTTAGAACCCGTGATACAGCAGGTTGTAAATCTACAACCCGTTTTTCTTCTCTCTTCTTTTCTCTATCCTCCAACTCAGCAAAATATAATATTTAAAGTCTTACAGCTCGTCTACGTCACCTTGTTATACTTTCTCTAATTTGGAGCATTCTGCCATGCCTATTTTTGAAAATACATGATTCTAAAACATGTCATGAATTAGCTTCTAGGAAATCAAAGCACAAGAATTTGCAGCCGGAACTCATCAGATACTCTGCAGGAATTCTAGATTTTTTTCAGTAAAACTAGGAAATTGCCCGTGCGTTGCAACGGGGCATATTCTAGTAGTTCAATACCAATCATGTCTAACATATATTGTTAGGATTCTCATGCACATCAGGTGGAATTATCGATTTCTTTTTTCCTGGCAAGTCAATTTTAGTGGT